CAATAATATATGTAAAATAACCGGTCTTTTTCATTCCTCCTTGTTACTTTTACCCTCACTTTTAATAGGAATATGCACTTCAACACAGGTAAATAAATGGGTTTATACAACAAGATGGGCTTCGCGATGTCAATGGGCACTTTTATTAACCACGATGAGATTGGGTTTTTGCTTATGCAAGATTTAATATAGAAGCTCAAAGCTTTTTTTAATATATATAAATAAAAAATACTGTTTACCAATCATTTGTCAACTATTCTTTTAGAGGTTATTTCCCCGATCCTGGTCCGTGGAAGATTCCTCAAACTCGAAATGTAGTCCTCCGGGATACACTTGGAATTGATGCTCTTCCTCGACAACGTTTCAACAAAACAAAAAGAACTCCTTATGTTCTTAATATTATGGTTGTTGGTATGTATTATTGGCGAGTTTAAAGATTAATTCAATTAAGTTATGTTTTATATAATTAACTTTATATTCATTATCAACCCTGTCATTAACATAAAAAAAGGCGAGAGTGGTCTTGGAAAAACTACTTTTATGAATACTCTATTCAACACACCTCTCAAAGAAGAAATCCATCCTAAAAATCCCCAATCCACACAAACTGTAGAAATTAGCCCTGTACATTATGGTTAGTATTTATAAATGGATTACTACTACCCTTAATCTTTTCAATACATTCTTTGCATATTAAAATTTTTTTTATTTTTCAGAATTGGTTGAAGACGGTGTTACCCTTAATCTTACCGTTGTTGATACACCTGGATTTGGTGACCAACTTAATCGTGAACACAAGTGTGTTAACTTCTCATTTATTTCAATTGTGCTTAATAGAAAATAAAATAAATAAATAAAATAACATTTTTATACTTCAATTAATTATAGCCTTGATCCTATTGTTGAGTATATTGATAATCAATTTGAGGTTTACCATACTGCTGAACGTAGTCCCGAATTTAGACGTGCCATTCCAGATACTCGCATACATGCTCTTTTATACTTCATTCCACCAACTGGTCATGCGTAGGTCTCATTTTTCTGTGTTACCTTTAATTTTATCGGTTAGTTTCTAACTACATTCTCAATTAGTCTTAAAGAACTTGATATTAAATCTCTTCAAGTTTTATCCGCTAAAGTAAACGTAATTCCAGTTATCGCAAAAGCTGATACCCTCACACAAGAAGAGAAGGCAGCATTTAAAAAAACTGTGTGTATGCCTATATCGTTAATTTGTAATAATAATGATGTTTCATAGATAATTCATATTATTTTTCTGTGTCTAACAACAAATTTCTTATTTATTATATAAATATAGATATTAAGAGATATTGAAGCTAATGATATTAGAATTTTTCCAACTGCATACCCGGATGATCGGGAAAGCGTTGAAGACCTTGAGGTATTTATTAATAATTCCTGGGTTATACAACAATCTTTAATGTTAACTTACTATTATTATTATTATTATTTATATATATGTTCAGAAATATATCCCATTCACAGTAATTGGCAGTGATCAATTTGTGGATGTTGGCGGAAAAAAAGTACGAGGAAGATCATATCGATGGGGTATTGTTGAAGGTTAGTTTATACTTTGTCTGTGGTTTATTCCTCCTTTTTTTTATTGGACTCTTGTAAAATATTAACTTATTTGTCAATAGTTGAAAATGAACAGCATTGTGATTTCATCCATCTCCGTGAACTTCTTATGACACATGCCCTTCATGATCTTCTTGAAACAAGTCATACAGTGCATTATCATAATTATCGTGCCCAAAAACTCCGTTCTAGTGGTCGTCCTGAATCGATCCTTGCTTGTGATGATTCTTATGAACACAGAATTGAAAGAAGT